GGAAGCTCTTACATTAACTACAACATTATCATCCATCCATACTTTGTGTCTTTTTTTTCTGTCGGCTTTAATTTGTGTAGATTTATAGAATTAGGTTTGCTCATAGACAACAAAGTTATTGTGTGTACAAACATTTTTGAGTCTTTTCTTTTTTTTACTGAGAGGCACATTATAGGGTCAGCAGCCTAAAATGGTATCCCATGAGTCCCAGGATTGGAGAAGGAAGTCACCCAACTGGGTCAGTTAGTGGCATGGTTTGTCAGAGCAGTCTGCACTGAGACAGGGATCGCACACAGGATGGCAGACTGGAACATTTTCTGACATGCCCATATTTTGCTCTGCTTGTAGTCAAGCAAACCATTAATGTACTGGCAGAGAAATGAAAAACAAAACAAGTGATTACCTGCTGCTGTTCACTAAATGCTTTGCAGCTAGCACTTAAACATTACTCACTCCAGCACACACAATAATAAGCCTTCTTTTGCTTGTGATTGTTGAACTCTGTATTGTCACCTGGCGGATCATCTGTTTTAAATATTCATAAATTTAACCAGCACTCAGTTTGTCCTCATCCCACTACTTATTCTCTTTACCAGTGACCTCCATGCTCCATTCTCGCACATGTTCTCAGTTTCTCTGCATCGTCATCCTCCCCCTCAGTTTTCTGCTAATTTGTCACTCTAGTGCACCTGTACTGCGACTGCCTTTTAGTCACAGTGCATTTGTTCAAGCTCCTCAATCTCGCTGTATTTGAAATTGTGAATAATTACTTTTACTTTTTGCTGGAAAGATCAGGATAGAGCCCTAACCGGGTAAAGGTTGTACTGTGTCAGCTGTCCCAAAGGGAATCTGTGCCCTGTGAGCTACATCAGAGCTGTTTTAACCGCTCCCTGTGGTATGCAGCTATTCTCAGACAGTTTATTATGAGATCTACCTTAACCTCATACTCAAAATTAAAGAATGTGGATCAAATACAGACCACAAGAAGTCAGGTTCCACTGATGCTGGTTGACTTTTCTTTCAATATGTATTAAGGTACTTTTTTCCCCGTTCAGACTTGCCAACTCCCCTCTCATTGCAGCCCTTCTCACTTCTGATCTGAAGAAGACGCAGACAACCAGCTGTCTCCTTTTAAGAGATGATCTTTTACCAGAACCCGTAGCTTAACTGACTCTGTCACATGTATGGTTGAAACTGTCTTCAACGGATCCAGCACTTCTTCATTAGGGTGTATAAGTAGACTGTTGTTATTGACCATTATGGGTTTGATGTGGGCCTATCCGAGATGTGTTGGTATCCATCGGCTGTAAATAGTAATGGATGAAGCCTGAGTGTTGTCACCCATCTGTTACTGCATGGGGCTTTGGAGTCCCATCGATTGCTGTTGCCATGCTGAAAATCCTGTCTCACTCTAACTTACATTCAACCTAATGACAGGCTGAAGACCGGAGCTGAGGCGGGTTTTAAGCCTCTTGACAAACTGTTACGTTGCGCCCGCCTGTCAATCAGCTCAGCTACGCGCTGTATTGTGAATTTCAAATTGTTTTGCAGATTACTTGTTTTGTTCAACCTCTTGCCTCAACCCAACCCAAATTGTGATAAACTATTTACAAAATATGACAGAGAAGATGATCTTCACATTTGAAATCTTAAATCAGCAAAGATTGGTCCTTTTTTGCCTGATAAAAAACTGTAACAGTTGTACTGTAAACAGTATCTAAGGATTTCCTGTCAATTTGTTAAGCAATTAGTTATGTCATTGTTTCAGCCCTATAGCTGCTCTGTACTGTGAGATTATGTTTGTGTTCTCCATGAATGGAGACTTTGTGCCAGCAGAAGTAACTTTCTGACACTGGGCCCAACTTGTTAATGTTGTTAGTGGGCCTTGGCAGGAATTGGTTCACTGCGATTTATCCATTTTCTTTAGCTTAGGCACTTGTTATCCTCATGCTGCAAATCATGTTGTTTTATTTTATCATGAGTTCTAACAACCACTGAGAAACAATCCTGAAAATCACTGATTCGTTTGGGTCGAAGATGCAGAAAGTGGCGGTGGCATCGTACTGTCCTTGCTAGGAAGTGATTCTGGGTCGGTTGTTACGACACTAAAAAGAGTGAGTTGTCCCCTCTGCCAGCACTGCACACAGAGAGGTCTTTGTGATACTAATCAGCCCTCATTGGCAGGCTTCATGGGCACATGGATGGACACTTCTGATCATTAAGAATATTCTGAAGACATACACATAATTGCAAGACTAAATGTTTTAAGCACAGCTGTTTGATTTGTCTGATCATTAACAGGCGTTCATACAGTCAGGATCCCTGTTGTTGTGTACTGGAAGCTGCAATGAAGACCACACAGGATGTTGTTAAACTGAACCATTTACTGCTCATATATTTATAATAACAACACAACCTTCTGCACCGATACCTCGACTTTATAAAATCAAGCTATAGCAACAACAATAACACTGAACAGGTTATATCCTGAACCTGATATACTCTACGCTGGACTAATTGACAAAAAAATATCTTTCCAACTGCGCTTAGAAATATAATGTATCCCAATATGTTGATTTCTGGGTAAAAAACAAATTTAAGGTGAAGCCGCCAAAACCTATACCTTTGTGACCCGGCGCATCAGCTCACAAAGGCAACAGAGAGGTGTTGAGGCTCAGCTCTTATCACCCTTTTCAGACTTTCTACAACTGTTTAAAAGTTCCAGCCCCCTCCACCCATCCGATAAAAACTAAGGAAAACACTGTGTGAGCATCTGTTCATTGAAATCTGATTCATCCTCTGCAGTAACAGCTCTGTTTGCCCTGATGATCAGTTTTGTTTTGGCTGTTGGAAAGATCTTATCCTGAATTAAACATGAGGTAGAAGATCTGTGGTGTCCCATCAGTATACATTTCCTGCATGTTTGTAACCAGGAATTGTTAGAAAAGTGGTGGTTAGTGTTTACCAACATTAATACAATTTATCTCTCAGAGCAATATGAAACACACTTTATCTCCCTAACGTGTTAGGGTCCCTAATGTGTCCAGCTATAGTTATTTTTCCACTGTAGTATATTTGTACTGTAGGTTTATCCCCAAATCCTCTTGACTGCATGGCTCAGCTCCTATCACACAGGTAGGCCTACATGGTTTGTTATTTTGGAGCTTTTTAGCAAGTGGGGTATTTAATAATTCAACAGTAACCATTAGACAACAGCAAACCATATTTTTAAATAACCTAAAGTTTTTTTTCAATGTGTCAGCGAATTAATTCAACGATTGATCATGTTTCATGGTCATTTTTTTACATTTAGCATCTACAGAAATGTTTCATATCCTTTGAATGCTACAATAAGACGACCTGTTACAGTAAAAAGCCTACTCAATGCTGCAGTGCCCTCGAACAGCTCAACAACGCCGCCATTGACCCCTACAACACCTCGTGTGGGACGATTGTTCTTTTCTTTTTAACTGCTGCTCACAAGTATTCTCCTCCCATTGGGTCTGAAATATTAATGGATGAGTTTAATTGTGTAGTCAGGAAGGTGACCTTCGTGTTTGTCCACAGAGAGACAGAAATCACACTTTCAACCAATCTCTCTTTGATTCTTGAACATCTTATTTTCATATAAGCGGTCATAAATCTGATGCTGTATCAGAAAACAATTCTACTTCAGGGTTCACTAAGGTATAAGTTATGAAAAAAAATGAATAAAGGCAAAAACAAATAAAACACAAACCATAACAAAGTTAAGCAGACATAAGAGAAATGATAATTCTCATATTCAAATACATCTCCATCTTTTTTGTTTTTACTTTGTTAGACTGGCATATATTCCCCAGAGATTATCCCACTACCTCTCAGCATTTTAGTCTGTCTCTCAGCAAATCCTGAGTGACAGCAAACACAGCCCTGACCCTTTACCCTGCTCCCCTCCCTCTTTCTCTGGAAAGTGTCTGATGTGTGTGAATATGATGAGAGTCGACAGTAAGAGTGGGTGAGCACTGCTGGTCCCTCTTTCTCTGTCACCCAGGGGCTTTGTTTATGTTTGTTGGCTGGGGTGGTCAGGTTGTGTTAGAGGACAGAGCTTTGTGACATGGTCCTGACAACACTAGACACGGACAGTCTTATAGCCTTTTCACACATTCACAAAACTCGGGGTCAAGCAGCTGTATTTTTTTACCCAGACTATTCCTGCCAGCCCTCTTACAAAATGTCCGCAAGATGTTAGGTTAAGCCAATTGTGTTAAAACAACAGGAAAATGTCAGAAAAATTCACAGATAACGTTCATATCCTGCAGCCACTGCGTGACTGATTTGATTTTAATGCTCGTAAATTAGCTGCTTCATACTTTTTCTGCCGGCTCGCATTCTCTTTCAACACTCTCTTATTTATACTTTTAACTTGAGCATGTTGTAACATTACAGGCTTCTGTAGCATCCTTTTAAACCACGTGTTTGCCCTTTATGTCTCATTTCTTTTATTACCAATACAAACTAGAGGTTTCAAAGCATTGAGTTTAAATATTTCTATGATTTCCCATAATTTAGATTAGTCTATGTCAGGTTTCCCTTGAATATAATGTATGTATGATCTATGTATAGTAGAGTATGGGTATAAATGCATATTGAGTATGCTTACTACATATAATTGATAGTTTAATAGACTTTTAGTGCCACCTTTGAATTTTTTAAACAAGTATTCCTTTCAATAAGCTTTCAATCTAAAAAGCCATGAAACTTCCATGAACCCTTCTACGATCAGAATGGAAAATAAACCAGCATTGAGCCATAACCGGGGGGGGGGAGCCTTCACACGTATCTGTACATCATGTCCTCATAGATGGAAACATAAATAAACCAGTAAACCCAGTGGACAGGACAAACTGTGATGTTAGTAGCAGGTCATCTCTGGGTCACGCATGTTTTCAGAGCAGAAACAGAGACAGTTGGAGGCGCTGTATTCCCTTTGTAACTAATGTTTTTTCCTATTCCCACAGGTGCTGGGGAGTCAGGGAAGAGCACAATTGTAAAGCAGATGAAGTAAGTCGAATAAGCCGTATTTAGTTTGATGGTTGTTGATGGCTTTCCACCTTGAAATAAATGTTGCCAATGTGAAACTTTTGCTTGGTGAGCATTTATTTAGCTATGACGAACCAAATCTGATCAAATCTTTTTTTTTTTTTTATTATACAAAAAAATAATCACAATGTGCGCTCCTAAAAAATTACAATGATTCTTGTTTAACAAAAACAATAACAGCAAAGTATTTTACCAACCTGTGTGACTGCCCTTTCCTCAATAGAATGACATTTTTCAGACATAGAAGATGTGATCATTTTTAGATCCTGATGTCAAGCCACTTAATAAGCCTTGCAAACAAGGAAATGCACCAACACACTTACATGATGGTTCTGTGCACGTGGTTACATTTGTCTTACCTCAGATGTGAATTACTAAGTTTGGGCAAGGCACTGAGCCTGTGGCATATTCCATCACTTTAATTATTTCAGCATAATAGCTGACATACAGGGACAGTGTGTCGGGCTGTTTTTATTATCTTTTGCTGTTCAAAGCACAAGAGAAAATGGGAGTAAAAGAGGGTATTTGTGATGATTGTGCACCAATGAGAACACTCCCACACACACACACACACACACACACACACGCACCAAAACAAACACACAAACAGGACCCTAAATTACTTAATTATTCACATTCCTCTGGACTAGCAGGGAATTTAATCTATTTTTTACGAGGCTGAAGAACAGTCTGCCTCTTTTTGAAGTTATTAACACCTACAGGCCAAAAAAAGTTGGAGACAAAAACACATTATATAATAGTTCACATCCCTATATCCTTGGAAAATGCAGAATAATGTTGCAGAAGTTGGTAAAATAAAGTGTTTTATTAAACAGTTTCAAAACAAGGAAACCATTTCTTTGCTTATTGGAGACTGCTCACTATTGCTTTCATCAGCACGATGTTGCTTCAGTTTCTCGTAGTGAACGTGGGGTTTTCTGCCTCTGCAGCCTGATTAAGTCTGGAGGATTGCAAATTGATATAAGACTCAGACTATTATTATTTGTTTATTTCTTTACGTCCCCGACTCTCAGCTTCAGAGGGAGGTAATACTTAGGATATTGCATCATCTAAAAGGTCCAGAGTTCAGGCAATTTCAGTGTGCGTAAACCTTCACAATATGTGGATATGATATTTGTGATGTAGGGTCTACATGTCGCACTAACAGACTACAGTTATATGGTTATATGCTGACAGAAAAGCATCCTTCTGGCTGTAAAGTGTGTTTCTTTATCAAAACCGGTTGCATAAACATACCAATTCAATTACTAGTGTTCATATATGACTTAATATTTACCAGTTGTGAGTGACAGGCAGAGAAAGTTAGTGACTACTGTGAACCCAAGGGAGCGTTTAGTCTCTCCATATGTGGCCAAAAAGTCTGTTTATGCTGGATGAAGGGATAGTTAGATTTTTTTGTGAGGTTGTATGAGTTGCCATGAGTAAATGTATTTGCTACAAGGGATGACGGTGATGGCTGGGCCCCTGTATTGAGAAACCAGACGGAGTGCTGGCACAGAGGCTATACATTGTTGCAGACAAGGCCATCTGCTCATAATCAGATATTATTCATATCATTTTTAGACATTTTTTAGTGTTTTACTTTGCCGTCAGTCACTTTGTTATTGTTTTTTCACCACCTACACCTATCTCTGCCTGCAACCTATTGGGTCATAAGTGAGAGTGAAAGAAAAAATATAAAACCCTCTTTAATGCACTTTTTAATAAAATGTTAAATATTTTTGGCTTTCTCAGGATCATCCATGAAGATGGCTACTCAGAAGACGAGTGTAAGCAGTACCGGGCAGTGGTTTACAGTAACACCATCCAGTCTATTATGGCCATAGTTAAAGCCATGGCCAGCCTCAAGATAGACTACAGCAACACATCCAGATTGGTAAGACACACAAGCACACATACAGACTAACACATTATGCTTTTGTTATATAATGACTTTTCTATATATGTTCTAACATCAATATTTCTATCCTTATACTTAACCCTTATTTGAATAAACACAGCCTGACCGCAGCCCAAGAAATATACATTTCAGTTTCTTGTCTAGTCATTGGCTTTACCAGAAACATTTAGATTTAAAAAAGGACAAGCAGACATTGTTGTTATGATCTTAAAGGTTGTTAAGTGGACCCAAAAGCAAGACCGGAAAACAGGGTGGTGGGTAAAGGGGTATTTATTGAAGTGAGGCTGGTGAGGCTTGAATGAGAGGCTGGGTGGTGAGGCACTGGAGCTCAGTGGTTGGAGGCACTGGGGAAAAACAGAAGACAAGGGAATAATTAGTGACAGGTATCCAAAGCACAAAAAGTTTACTGATACTGAGAAGCCGATCTACCACAGTGTAGGCAGAAATAATCTGGCAGCTTGGGAGCGTTGAACCAGGGTATAAATGCTGCAGCCAGTGATTACAGATGACGAACAGGTGAGTGATTGCAGAGAGCTCCAGCAGCCAATAAGCCACACCCAGCCTCTGAAAGAACAAAAACACAAGCACCGAACAAGGACAAATACACAGAACTGTCCAATCACCACACATTATAATGTACAAACTGATGCAAATATGCAGAGAGGTGGCCATTGAAAGTCCATGGTTTTAAAAAGTAGGAGCATATAACTGACAGACCAAAATACAAAAATAATTGTGTGATAACCCAGGTTACTGTCTTTGGATGGATCAGGATCCCTCTCAGGCTAAAACTTGTCTGATGTTATCCTGATTAAGACTGCGTGATCTCCGAATTAAAATCACAAGAGGTCACCTTTGTTCCAGTGTACTTTTCACTTTGTTTGTGTCTCAATATAATTGGGGTGAATAAGTCTGAAAACATTTTTACTTCCACAGTTATTGCACATTTCTCACATCACATCTCCTACTCAACACTTTTAATCTGTGCAAGTGTTCTCTCCAAATGTGGTTGTGATTTCTAACATTCACCTGTTCACAGCAGCCACTTTTTTTTTTCCCCAGAGAGAAACTTTTTGTTATTACTCAAACGAGAACAGAGTGTCATACTTCTCTGATCCATCTTGGGCACCTGCAGGGAAGAGAGTCCTCATCCTAGAGACTTCACCTCCTCCATCTTTGATCTGCTCTCTCCTCAAAGTTGTAATAGAAAGAAAGAGGCTGAGGGTGCGGCTAATAGATGCAGCAGCAGACGAGCCTCTGAGGCTGTTTAGGAGATTGGATTTATTCAGAAAGTGCTGGCAGGACACATTTGAAATGTAGATCCGGTTCAGCAATGAAACAAATTCATTATTTTGTTTGTCATGGCTACTACCTGCAAGAGAAAGACATTAAAGGTGGCCCAGAATTTTCTGGTTTCAGATACTTTATACAGTATTCTGCATTTTTGTACACGGATAGATTACAGCAACATCATCTGATGGAGGGTTATGTCTGCCCATCCTTTCAAAACATTACAAAGGAAAAAGGAATGGAAACATGTTTTTAACTACAGTAAATTACTGCCTACAGTGGAAGTCTATTATAGTTTGTGGGGAGCCTTTCGATGCACCTTGGGTCAAATGTTCCCCAGCCCAATATCATATTTACATTTTACAATAGAGAAATCATTCTAGGGGTTTCATGTTCTCAGTAATGGTTTTACCCTTAGTCACATGTTCAGTGTGTGTTTCATGGGTCAATATGTTACAATGTACACTTCAGTTTAAAGTCTACTGAAACTTTTTTCCTCAAATCGACAGTGGAGATACTTCTCTTGACTTTAAATCTTGATATCTAGACACTACATTAGCAAATCTTTGCTGTTCTCCTTTTTATTGTGCCCCATCTAGTCAATAACAGTTTGTATAGAATGAAAGGCACTGTTCAGAAATGTCCTACTACATTCAAGTTATAGAGTTTAGGCTAATATGAGCAGCTGTTCTTTGTTTTCCATACAGGGGTTTTTAGTTTTCACCCTGAAAGCCTCCCCTTATATAAAAAATTAAACTGAAAACAATACATTTCAAAATACAAACTATCTGCTAAGCTGCAAACGTTTTTAGAACAAAGGGACATTTTTCCTATTGAGAAAGTCATTAAGCATTAGCTGATAACGTTGATGTTTTTAAAACGACTTCTGTTATCGAAAAGTGCAGCACTCATAAACATATCATCATGGGCCTGCTTTAATGCATTCATTAAAAATGTCTTTACAGAAACTCATAGACAGCCAAACCCTGCAAACACACAGCAACACATCCAGTCTCAGCTTTTAGCAGAGATCCTGCTGCACCCTGTGAAGCCCACAAACGAGCCGTCAGTAAGCTGTATCAAAGGCTGAACTCAGGCCTGTGGAGGAGTGATTATCAGTGATTTTGTATTGAAGTCGAGGTGTATGTACGTCAACTGAAGCTGTAAGAGAAGGATTGAGGACTCTGGCTGTGGTCATTAGAGCGCGATGCAGAAAACTTTTTATTCCTTTTGCCAGATCAGTTAAATGGCTGCATGTACGTGACAGAACTCTCACACACTCCCACACTAGCAATTAGTGTGTTAGCCTGTCCATACTTGCAGACAGTAGCACTGTAGAAATGATCTCACACCACACACACACACACACACACACACGCACACACACACGCACACACACACACACACACACACACACACACACACACACACACACACACACACACACACACACACACACACACACACACACATACATACACACACACAGATCAGCATCCACCTGCATCAATACACACAAAAATGTACATGGCACCAAATGTGCACACTCATTATCCAAGCTCTTTGCTGTTTAATTTGCTTGAAGGAGCAGCAAGAGTTCCATCAATTGTAGCACATTTGCAGGCGTTGATTGCTGCATTAATCACATCCAATCTAACAGTCTAATTAAATAAACCATTTGATAAATTTGTAAAATCTGAACAATTGTAGTCACTGCAGCAAATCATCAGTAATATGAAAAAGTGTGTTGCATACAAACCATAAAACATATCTAAATTGTAAAAACTCAGAAAATGTGATAGGAAATCTTCCCCAGAGTACAGGATAATGAGTGGTACATGTCAGAGCAAGATGAATAAACATTATTATTGCAGAGAAAACTCAATAAATATGCATTAGAACATGACTTTGCACAAAGGAAGTGTAGTAATATTTTTTTTAATGACTTCATATTGATATCCAGAGTCCTTGCAAACACAATGACAACAGCTGGTCACTGTGACATAAACAAACGAGCTGAGAGGACCAGGGATTAATGATTAGTTTTGTACTCAATCATATGAATACAACACGGAGGGTTTAGTGCCAGCGTAAAGACTGAGAAGATTATCATTGGGTTCACTGATATCATTCTTACATTATATTATTGTTGGATAAACATTCTCTTCCTTTTTCCTTGTCCAGAGAAACAGCAATCCATGACTACTTGTTTAGTAAGCATTGTGTAGCAAGTAGTACGTAATGAACGAAAATGTTCCTGTTGATCATGTGGGGTACCTTTTTTGAGCCTTTTTTTTTCTTACAGTTCAAACTTTTCCTTTGTTACTGAATATTATTTTCATTGCTCAAGGTGTTTTTGACATTTTGATCTTTCACCAAGCTTAATTGTGTCATTTAAAGATACGTGTTTTGCATAATAATGTTTTGAAAAAATACTCACTTGTTTCCCTGAGACTTCTGATTACATTATTTTCAGCTTTTTAGCCTTTTAGTAACAAAACAAAAAAAAAACATTTTAAAGAGGACATATTATCCCCCTTTTCCACCTTTTCAAACAGTCCCCTGTGGTCTAAATGAAACATCTGTGCTGTTCTTTGATCAAAACATAACATGAATCAAGCACCAGAGGAGGTTTGTGACCCTGTATAAACAATGCTCTCAGAACGTTCAGTTTTGGTGTGTGTGTCTCTTTAAATACAATGAGCCCCCCCCTGAGTTTTCCTGGTAGACATCACTCCTTCGCTAGCGAGAATAAAAATGGCGGACCTGTGCAAAAGTTTTGCTCTAGGTGGGTGGTAGAGTCCATGGGTGGAGATACCAGTGGTGGGGAGGGGATTTTTTTTTAAAACCAGAATCCCACTGTAAGATCACAAGGAGAACATTTCAAACAAATACTTTTTCTCTGTGTTGTAAGACTTAGGCAGACCACAAATAACAGACTGGATGGGTTTATTTCACATTTTGTGGGTCAGTAGACACTCAGGTTACCTAAATATGTGTTCAAAAACACTGTAAAAGTGTGTTTTTCATAATATGTCCCCTTTAACAATGCTTTCGAAATACCATCACCTTCATGTGCTTGAAGACATATCTTTTGTCAAAGATAACAATTTTCATGTATATTTGGTAGTGATTTTAATCCTGCTGCCCTGTGTCTCTATCACCCCCTACAGGATGATGCTCAGCAGCTCTTCGCTCTGTCAGCAGCTGCTGAGGAGCAGGGCATCTTTCCTGATGAACTGTCCAGCGTGATCAGGAACTCTGGGCTGACAGTGGCATACAGAGCTGCTACACACGGTCCCGAGAGTACCAACTCAATGACTCCGCAGCATAGTGAGTGCAAATTTGTGTGTGTATGTTTTATACTATGATCCCACTTTGAATATTCTTTTTATAAAGCAACCCACTTTACTGTATTGCTTAGATCTATGATTGTCAGTATTCTTAGTACTTTTGTCAAATGTAAGCGGCAACATTTATTAACTATTTGTTTATATTATTCCTAAAAGTTCTCTTCTACAGTATGCAATCCAGCCCTGTATTTCCTTGACTCTGAGTTTTATTACTGTAAATGTGAATGTGGCTTAGTTGGAAACCTCACAGTCACTGAAGTTTTTCTCTTTTACTACATATCAGGTTGTCACATAAAGTAGAAAATTGTTTTGCAAATGTAATTCTGCAATATTATTTTAATACGATTATGAACCAGCTCAAGAAAGACAGAGAGTAGGAAAAGTTTGGGTGATGGTGTTTGGTTTATTGTTGTTCTCATCAGATAATGGACTGTTTAATAGTCCTTCCTTTATTAATGCCTTTCTCCCGGTGATGTGATGGATCTTTTGGTGCTGTACTTTCAGCCTCTCTCATATTCGCCGCAGTGAGAAACCTGTCTCTGACCTCTTCAGGGAGTGATACAGACAGGAAGGATAGTCCAATAACTTCCATTTAGAGATTCTTTCTACCTCTCTGGGTTTTACCGTCAAACATTTTAACCTGATTAGCTGGGCAAAGAATGGTATGTCTTGAGGGAGAAGAAGGTGAGACTCAGAAAAATTGAGTTTACTTCAAGGAATTGTAGCAACCAAGTAAAGTTTCAGAACTGCTGGTCATGATAAAATCCCTCAAGTGACTCATTTGTTTTTCTTTCATGTGTGTATTCATTTTTGTGGATTGATTTTTAAAGTCAAAAATGTTGCTTTGTCTGGATTTACAATATCTGTGATCCCATTGGGAAATGTTTTGTAACATCTGCAGTGATGAGACAGAATGTTTTTGTTTTTAATCATTCATTATGTTTTCTGTCCTTTCAATGGGTCTGCCGGGTTTTGCTGAGTCATTAATTTGTATTACTCTGTGGATGTGACATGCATGAATCAGGACACTGGTACAGATACAATTTTTGATATTATAAACTGCATATCTTTCTGTCTGTAGAGTCTTGGCCACTTAAGCGCCTAGCTGGCATTAGAAGATGATGTAATCCTTTTTTTATGTGGGTTAGGTGGTGTTAAACATGCTGAAGATGGTTCTACAGTTCCCTGCTGACCAACAGTCTGTCAGAAAAGGGAATAACAGAGGGAGAGTAGGAAAGGAGGATAATGAATTCAAGAAGTTGAAGAGGAAAATAATAGCAGCCAGTTTGAGAGACAGAGATGGAGAGGAGAGGAAAGGAGGGGAGAGGAGAGGAGGGGAGAGGAGAGGAGAGGAGGGGAGAGGAGAGGAGAGAGAGAGGAAAGGAGGGGAGAGGAGAGGAGAGGAGAGGAGAGGAGAGGAGAGGAGAGGAGAGTTGCAAAGACTGTGTATGTTGTTTGTTTCATTAAAGGTCACATATTGTGCAAAATACACTTTTACCATGTTTTTCTAACACTAATATGTGTCCCTAGTCTGTCCACAAACCCAACAATTGTGAGAAAAGTCCATCCTCTCCAGCTTTAGCCTGCTCTATAGTTCAGGAAATGTGAATTATTAGATTTTCCCTTTGTGACCTCACAAAGGGCAGTAACACCCCCACAGACATGTTTTGGAGACCTCTGGGGGGGGGGGGGGGGGGGGTAATATGTGACCATAAACATTTTTGCATAGTTTAACTGTAACCCCCAATGTCTTATTTCCAAAGGGAAATCTCCATTACGGCTTGAGCTCACCTCAAACTGTGTTGATTGCTTTAGAATTCAGTTTTCAAATAAATCACAAATGGAGCAAACCAGTAAAGATGATCCATGTTGCCATAGAAATCCTCCCACTAAAAAAATAAAAATGTCTCTGATGGCAATTCTCTAGTGGTATCTCACACAGGCATTTGAGGCAGCCATTTCCCATGAGGCTTTATTATGCGAATACAGGACATGTGTAGAATCAGTATTTGGTTTTCACCCTCGACCTCATCACATCCCCCACAAGCAAACACCAAGCAAAGCACAGCAGAAAATAGAGTGCCAATAAAAAAATGTACCCCAGCAAAAGTGCAAACAAAATGCAATAACAAAAGATAAACAAGAATAAATGGAAATGAAGATACAACAGGTATTGAAAGGCAGTTAATGTAATAAGCAAAAAAAGAAGACGACATATAGGTTTATGTGTCTCATAACCTATAAGTTGCCAAAAGAAGATTATAGGCCTACATAATAACACAGTAGAAGATATTAATGGTTTTACACTGTTACAAGTTGTGCCTGTCCCTTTAAGAAAGAGTTCTGGTTCTGTGTTGTAGTGAGCTTCAAACTGTTACCAGAGGTTAATGTCTCCATTATTTATTTGTACAAATAAAAACTAATTGACAATATGAAAGCCGAAGGTCTTAAAGAGTAAGCTAAAAAGAAACCTGAATCTGCTTTGCAACATGTTTCTGCTGCCTTCATGTGCTCAAAATTTGTTTTATTTAGGGTTTCATTGATGTGTTTTTACCAACCCCCATTTGTAGATATGGTTAAAAAAAATGGGGCTTGAGCTGTGTAATGCACTTGGTCAAAACTTGAATATTAGAAGACTTTGTATTAAGACTTAAGCATAATGCCTTAAAAAGCACTTTAACAGTGTAATGAAATGTTATTACGTAAAGCTTAACAGTGTGTTAATGAGTGCAGCAGAACATGAGTCATTCCACAGAAAGTTCATGAAATTGCTGTAGTTCATTACAGTTCAAAACACTTTGGTGAAATGCAGACTGTTTTGTCTGATGTTAATGCAGTACAAGTGACCTATTTTTCATGTGCTGTGTGTACAGTCTGTATATGTTCCTTCTCACTCTTGTAGTCTTCAAATAATGCTGAAATCCCACCCTCCCTCTCTTTCTCCGTAACCCTCTTCTAGTTACCTCAATGATCTGGAGAGGATAGCTAAGGCTGATTACATCCCCACCCAGCAGGATGTGCTGCGAACTCGTGTCAAGACCACAGGCATTGTGGAGACTCACTTCACTTTCAAGGAACTTCACTTCAAGTAAGGATTGGAGGCACTGAGCAGATATTAATGTCTGTGGATCTCAGATATGTTTGAAACAATACACTTAAACATTTCACTACCATTAAAAAAAGGCACTCTTACAAGAAATGGACATTTTCATTTAGCTATTCACACTTGACATTCAGGACTGTGAAGGGAGTGTTAATAAATAATACTTAACCAACTACCAGTTGTCACTAAGTCATACAAGCCACACATGACACATGACCAATGCTGCATAAAACTGTCCTTGGGGTAAAAAAAAAAAAAAAAACCAACAAAACAAAACATTAACATATCTGTCCAATCTTCTTTCTCTGACTTGAACTGTGAAGCTTGACATGCTCAATTATCATGATAGCATTGAGAGCTGAGTAAATGAACGAGATCCTGCCCACCACACGCTCACTCAAAAGCTGAGCTTTAATGTACATGTCGCTAACATTTAAATACATACTCCTTGGTTTAGCACTGGAAGTCTTATATAAAAATATGATCTGATCCAGCCTAAATACTCATGTGTGGGATAGTAACGGATGTATAGAAATGTTTCTGAACAGTATAGAGACACAGTAAGAGCTTCAACCCCTGATAATTGGAGCTAAACTGAAGCAGATCCAATTCCTGTACGGATGAATTTGAAATGTGCAAAGAGAAGATACTGTATTATGAGTAATTATAGGAAAATACAGTCTCATCATTTTACTCATATTGTTTTACAGATCTCAGTTTTTTGTATAATTCTTTTTGGTCTTTAATTGTATATGAATGTCCAGATGTGGATTTTTTTTTTTTTTTTGTTAAAGCAGCCACATGACTCTGATGTGACCTGTTTTGAGATAAACTCTCTGATATTTAACTTTTGTAACAGCCTCAATATTTGCTCTGAATAATACATGGAGGCAATCAATAAGAGGAAAGTCATGTTTTTGGGATCCTGCACAGTTTGTCATAATAATACGGGAAGTAAAATGCTTAAAGATAAATATAATATTTCAACTACGGTTAGTTTTGATTGTTTCGAATGGAACCTCTTGGGCATCGCCCTATGTATCGTGAAAGTGTCGTCTGTCCCGTATGTGGTGGACATTAAACACTCCAGCTGTCTGCAGGCTTTTGCTCCCCTCACATCGCCATTTGCTTTGATCACAGTGCTCAGCCTCCCATTAGCTTGCACTTTGCTCTCAATACAGAGGCTCACATTGACCCTGCTGTCTTTTATCAGATTCCTGATGGACTCCTCTCCACCTTCACAGCACTCTTTTCTCAAAGGAGCCTCATGAAAACTTAATGTACATCGAAGGATGGAATATCATCTCAACTTTCTCCTACCTTCCTCTCTTAAAGCCTCTGTGTTTTTTTTTTTTTCTGAACTCTTCTCCTTAGTGCTTTCCCTCTCAGCTTCACCTTACTGTCTTTCACTGTGACCTTCCTCCAGCACTTGTGCACCCGAATACACAACGTCTTTTTCCCCTTTGCAGGATGTTTGATGTCGGAGGCCAGCGCTCGGAGAGGAAGAAGTGGATCCACTGCTTTGAAGGAGTGACGGCCATTATTTTCTGTGTTGCACTGAGTGCGTATGACCTGGTGCTGGCTGAGGACGAAGAGATGGTGAGACAGATCCCCCTTCTCACAACTATTCTTCACCATCCATGGACAATGTTTTTATACCCACTTCATAAATCTGCTCTCTTGTTTATTTATAGTATGAGAGAGTTTTTATTGAAAGGCATTTAACATTGCCCCCCCTCCCTTAATATAACTCAATAATAATGAGACCCAGCTGATGAAATTAACACAGTTTAAAGATCAATTTACAGTTGAAACAGTGGAGTGCAATTATCTAATGAAAGGTAATTTCTCAAATTACTTGAACCATTTGACCCCAATTTCTTGAACAGTTTATGAATTCTAAATAAGTGCTCAGGAGAGACTTGAGGACCCTACGCTTCCTCACATTTCAAACGTTAAACAACATCTCCCCCTGGTGGCGGCTTATTTGACTTGTTGTGTGATGAGCTGAGGCCGTAAACCATGACTGATTTTTTTTTTGCCTCTCTTCAGAACCGAATGCATGAGAGCATGAAGCTGTTCGACTCCATCTGCAACAACAAGTGGTTCACTGAGACCTCCATCATCCTCTTCCTCAACAAGAAGGATCTGTTTGAGGAGAAGATCACCCGCAGCCCCCTCGCCATATGCTTCCCAGAATATACAGGTACTTAGTGGGACTATCAGGGGCTGCACTGCACCCGAGAGCAGAGCTTTAATATTTGAACATCCACAGTGAAACCACAGACTGCGGCTGTAACAATACTAACAAATCACAGCATGAAACAATCCATAATCTGTCATATTATTCAAAAAATCTATTATTGTTTTTTTTCTCAAAACGTTTGCTCTCTAGGAGCGAACAAGTTCGATGAAGCAGCAGGTTACATTCAGACCAAGTTTGAGGACCTGAACAAGAAGAAGGACACAAAGGAGATATACACACACTTCACCTGTGCCACTGACACCAAGAACGTGCAGTTTGTGTTTGACGCTGTTACCGATGTCATCATCAAGAACAACCTGAAAGACTGTGGTCTTTTCTAAAGGTAAATGGATTACAAGGGGGGAAAGAACAAGGAGGAAACATTATCGAACATTATTTCTGTCATTTATTTATTTAGACAGCTGAGGAGGAGAGGATTAGTTATCATATCATTCAAGTTTAATTCCTTTTGAGCAAAAATGCCCAACAATATATCTGACTAAATCTTCTTCAATGATAATACGTGTTAATCTCATTCTCTTCTATAATAACAATAATAATTTAAACATCTTTCTGTTATAAACTGTAGGGCACATAGAAAACGGGCGATTTGATTTTGCCAGCATGAGCACTCTGAAATTATAGTTGACTATTTTTTTATTATATACTGAAATCTTATACACTACACTTTTTTAAATAATAGTAATGCCAAATTGATGAGAAATGCACGTCATTTTTAGCTGTTGCTGTCAATGAAATGTATTCTAAAAGGGAGCAATGGTAACATATGGTTTCTCTAAAATGCTCCTATTTATTGTGTTTTGTATTGTATTGTCTTTCTTTTTAGTCATAATGCATCACTGTATATTTTTGTTTGACCTGTACGGCACTTTGGTCAACTGAGGTTGTTCCAAATATGCTATGAGGATAAACTTTGAATTGCAAGACATTGACTGTTTCCTACTTTTGTATGACGTTTTTTAAAAGTCTCTTCTTTCCCTTCTTTGTCTCGATGCAGGATGATGCCTGACGCACACAGACTGCATGAGAGACTGCAACAGCCATGTGATGATTACTGCTTTTCATAATGAAAACCATAACAGACTTGACTTCTGGAGGGGGAAACCATAAAAAAAAAATTAAAAAAAATCAATAATCACTGATAGCAACCTTCACATTCTTTGCCTATTGTGTTGATGTTCATTTTCAGTTCTATATTTCTTTCTGCAATGTACAGGGCTTCTCATACTATTTATACTGAGCAACTTTGAGATAGATATTTGACCTGAGGCCCATTCAGCAACAATCTCTCAACAATCAGAAGCACTCAACTGAGAAAATAAGTAACATATGTTATATTATCCAATTGGTTTGGGTGGAAAATAATAAGTGGAAGATTTTAAACTATCTGTACAACATGCTGCAATCTCGTAATGCAGCATGGCCAATCAAAATCAATATGTGTCATCCTTAAAAAGGACCAGTTGGAGAACAACCTGTTGAAATCTTTTTCATCCAACTTTTTGTACAAGTTTTAATTTGAGTTCTTTTTGCTTCCATTTCAACGTTTGAAGTTTATAAAGAGAATGCAGAATGGAATCAACACCTTTTTAAAAAATAAAAACACATTCACATTAAGTTGCCATTGTATGAACCTTTCCACTGCATAGAGCTTATTTTGAAGAAGAAGACAACCCCGCATGGAGAACAAAACTGGATGAAGGGAAAATGTTTTGTTTTGTACAATGTTTACACAGACTCGATATCCACACTTGTACTATAGTCATCGTTTTGCATGACTGCCAATAGATTAGCTCGCACCCCCACAGACTGAACAACATTCCTTCACTTCTTTAATGAAACAGTTGTTATGATATCTGCAAGTTTTTAAGTGGTTTTGTCTGTTCCTTACACTGTTCTGTACTGTTTCTTTTATTCAGTCTCTTTTTAGTTTTACATGTTTGTGCCTTGATATCTGTTTACACTCGTTCATTAGACTCATATTATCTCCATAGTGTGAATTAGGGCTATTTCTACTCCACCTCCGTTCACATTACCCATGGTTTCAGACTCACCAAACACAGAGACAACTGGATGAGACTTGTTTAATAATGGAATAAGATCAAAGTCATTCACTTGTTTAATGTAAATAAAAGTTTTCTCACCTTATGCGTTTGATTCTACAGTATGATGAGTCAAAAGAAAAGGCGCCATGTCACTATTCTACACGTTCAGAAAAAGATCAACAAAGAATTAACAGAAGAAAATGTGGAGACAATTTTAGAAAGCAAACAGAACCCATTCACTAATCAACACTGTAAGATATTCTTGACATATTTTTTAAAGCTTGAAAAAAGGCCTTAAGGTCTGTCAGTCCAGTCTGTGATGGACTTCCTTGGGACAATGCCATCTAAAATAGTTTCAATACAGAGCATGAAACTGATGTGCCGCATAAAGAGTATGTAACCATTGCTAATTTCCAACTCTTGTCCCTAGACTGATGATGCCCTGATGTTACTAAAAAAGCTTGATGTGCAAACGGATTTGTCTAAAGTTCTGCATCTATTCTGGTGGTGGTGGTCATTGGTGAAAAGTAGCATTGCATGTAATGGTGAAGCATATGACTGACGCACATGAGCCACCTTCCTCATCATGCCTCTTCATACTTCTACTCCACTACACGTCAGAGGGAGGTATTGTTCTAATTATTCCAGTATGCTTTGACATATATTTACACGTTACATGTTTCAGATTCTACAGTACAGAATTATACAACTCAGACATTTCTAAATGAAGAAGAAACTAGTGGTTTCAGGCCTTACCCATTTTTTTTTTTAAATGCGTACTTGTGTTGAGTTGCTACAGAAGTCTATCACTGAGGTCAGAGTCTTTTTGATTGGCCAAGTGCATGCATGAAAGGAATTGTACTTCTTGTATGTAGCCTACTTTGACATAAAAGCTAAAGTAATAGCTAACATTTAGCTATAAAAAGAGATAAAGTGAGAGTCTGTGAGGCTGGCCTTTGATTAGTTATCTTTTTGGGTTCCTTCTATAGCTGCTTTTGGCTTAAACATGAAAAAAACAACATTGGCATAAACAGATTAGAGAAACTTCCCAAAAAATTTTAAATAAGCTTGTTTAGTAGACCTTTGACTTTGCACAACACTTTGGGCCAATAACAAAAGGAACCCTAAAACACCTTTCTGTAGTCCTGCAATGAGAATTTTGAAAGTTATAGTCAGTTAATGTAATCCAATAGAATACATTATACATCAAGACCTGCCTCTGAGCTTTTATTTGAGTATACTTTACAGTGATGTCTTGTTTTATAGCAGTAAAGTGGCTGACCACGCCTCCCACCACTGTACCTGTATGAATTACAATACAAAGTGTTGTCACCATCCTTGGAGGAGAGAGGTGTGGAGCTGCAGCCATGAATGGTTAGCTCATCTGCAAATCAAATGAGAACTTCACTTGAGACACGTTTGCATTTCTATACGACCATTAAGAGAAGAAAGATGAATGGACCCAAAGCAAAGGTTTATATTCACAGACAATGGAGAATGAATGTTTAATAGGAGACGGTGTTTACAATGATCCACAAGGTGGCGACATGAAGATTTAACTAAATCAGCACATGTAAGGAGGGCTTTTACCACAGACTGTAAATATTAGAGCTATTTACTCAGCAGTTGCTAAATAAACTTCTTTAGTCGGCTGTAGTCGGCTTTGTGAATTATTATTAAGTTGTCATGTTGGGAAAAAAGATAGATAGCCTCCAATAATACGTTATTTAAGATAGGCTATAAAATATTATCTGTAGTCTTTTTTTTTTTTTTTTAAGTAAAGTCAATTCAAGTCATTTTATGTGTGGCAAAGCATCGCTGTTCCGGGCTTTAAATTATCTAAAGTTTATCTTTTGATCCTCGGTTTGGGTAACTAAGAACTCCCTCAAAATGTCTTTGAATGTCAAAAACGGGAGACAACTACAGAAAGTATAAAGCCTTACAAAATAACACATCACCAGCAAATATATTTCTGTGAAAGATTTATTGTTAAACTGATTCGATGACTTATATTTAACTGAAGATGTAGACCCTCGATAGTGTACAGTTACATTAGGACACGCTGTAATTACAGAGGGAGGGCGGTATCTTGCGTCGGGCGACTTGCTACTGGCTGAGCTTGTGAGGTCGTGCGCTGATTGGCTGCAGCTAAAACCTCAGCATCGTCAAAGTCCGCGGACAGACCCTCACCAGGATCAGAGGGGAGAATATTCAGACTGTGACATCATCTTTGAATCTGTGGAAGTTTGCCTTTGCATGGATTTATTTAGAACCGATTGCGAGGTGAGTGTTAACTCTAAAAAACTAAAAACTAAAAAAACAATTGTTTTAAATTTGTATTTGTTGGGAAAAACGTCAAATGACTTATCCAATGCATCGTTTTTGTTTTTGCAGTAAAAACTACCAGGATCCTGAAGTTCTCTGCAGATATTTACTGAACAGCTATGGTAAGTTTTTCCTACGAGCTAATATATTTTGACAGTTTTTAAAATGCATGGGTAGTGCCTTAATTGTGCAAAATATCGAAAGCCAAATAGTAAGCAAGTTTCCCCCCTCTTTAGGCACAGATTCTTAACGTTTTCCCTTCAATGACTGCTCTTTTGTGCGTTTTTAGAAAAGCTACAGTCTTTTAATCTCCCTAGGGTCAGAGTTAATTCAAACCAAACTGTCCCTGCCAAAATGCATAGGGTTGGATGAATCCTCTCTTCTCGGTGTGTGGACGCAGCCAAGGAGAACAGAGCATTTTAGGTGGTGCAGACTGACCACAGAGTCCCACTGAGGATGTCTCTGTGTGTCAGATAAGACCCTCCCCTGGAGGCCAAATGGTCCAGCACCCACAGCTGTAATAACATCATGGCATTGTGTTGTCCTCTTTGCTCCAAGCCAAACAGTGACAGTACAGGGGGTGCTCAGAAAACGTTATTTTATTAGAATTTGATTGAAAAACAAAAAGTATGATGGCAAAAAAATATAGGCTACTACTTTTACGTTTTCAGGGGTCCCTTATAACCACAGGATGGCTTTTTTTTTTTTTTTTTAACATTGTCTTTATCTGTAAAAGCTATGGTGAATAAACTGGACTGCATTGATTACAGTTAATCTGTGTGTGAGAAGATTTTATGATTTATAATGAATACCTCTTGCTGTCGTTTCCTGCTCTATAATACAAGTACAGTCCACATCCTGTAAGTTAGGGGGACTTTTGAGAGGAAAAGCGTCCCTTTCACTCCTCCGTGATTCAGCCATACTTTGTTCAAAACTTCCCCTCCAGCTTCAGGAGGCAGCAGGCAGGGTTTTCCCAGAATAAAATGTGCATCCTGTTCTCAAAGCCGCCGCTTTGTATATTTGCTGGGATCACACTGCATTTGATGGTCTGCATAAAAGCTGCTCTGGGGTTTTTCAGGAATGCCTCACTTGTTATGTTGGTCAGAGAGCAGAGTGATCTCAGCTGGTAAAAATCTTTTTTGGCCCGGTTCTGCGAATAGCTCTGGGCGCTGTTAGACCGCAAACAGAGAACTTGCTCGGTAGATTGCTGTAAAAGTCCACTGTGCCTTTTGGGGTGAGGAGTTTTGTTATATAACAGATTCTGTGTATATCTAACTCTTTGTTATTCTCATTGTGTAGCTGTGTTTAGGAGACTCCGCAGACTGCGTCCGGGACCATATGCAGTGCATGATGAGATCGCTGCAGGACCTGAAACAGATCAACAGGCCCAGGCCACTGAGTGAACCATGTGTCCAGTCCTTCGCCGTCACACGGCTCTGCAAACAGAGGGCACAGCAGGAGCGACTCATCCGTCTACGGGTGTCTGACGCCAGTGAAGCCAGCACATATGACTCTGCCTGCTGCCTGGCCAGCCCTCTGGAGGAAGAGGAGGAAGAAGAGGAGCAGCAGCATGAGCGGTTGACTCAAGGCTCCCCGAGCAGTGAGAAAAGTCTGGACGTGGACTCGGGCTACTCTGAGGCTTCCTGGCATGACGAAGGTGTGGTGCTGAGGAGGACCAGAAATGTGCGGGTCTCTTCTTCTGCGTGTCTCCGCACAAACACAGGACACACTGGTAGAATCAGACCCAAATCAACCTCGGACGCTTGCTTGGAGCGGTGGACCTCATTTGAGGCCAGTGAGCAGGAGGACTGGACACATCCCTGCTGAGCCGCAGCAGGAACAGACAGCCACTGGTTCTTGGAGACAACAGCTTTGCAGACCTCATAAAGAACTGGATGGACTTACCAGAGTGTCCCGAACCAGCAGAACTAAAGCCCAGTGCGGGCAGGCGTCTGGCTAAAGACATTTTGGTGAACATGAGGCGCAGGCTGGCAGGGATGTCTAAGGGTGTGGAGGTCAGGATGAGGCTGGCAGACCACACGAGGGCCAGCAGAACTGCAGAGGCCTCTAAACGGATGTCCTGCCCTGTGGGACTCCAGGCTCTCAAACCTTTCTTCCACCAGTCTCACACAGGCCTGCACCAACTAGACACTGACTTCTACCAGTTCACTGCTCTGATGAAAACAGGCAGCAGACAGCCTATCATATGCAACGACATCATTGGATACATTTAAACGAGGCTGTAATAACAGACTGAGCTCAAAACACTTATTGTATTAAGATGGTTCTATTTTTATACTTGGAATTTGTTCAGAATGTTGATGCATGTGGAATAAATGTTCTTTTGAATTTAATGGAAAAATCCAAGTGTTTTATTAATTTTTGACTGTTTTACATTCTTCTCAACCCTCTACAGACATGTGATGTTAGGGGGAAAGTTGTCTTGTTCTACATGTAAGAAATAGGAATTTGTGTCAACTTTGAGTTTCATCATTGATGATCCTTTTTTGATCGTTGCTCTTCACATCTCAGCCCAAGTTTAAAAGATAAAGTCGAGGGCTCTAAAGCTTTGCAAATTAGGAAAGTGTAACCACACCTTTGTGTGCAATGTGATAGCAAAGCAGCTATTTCAATGGTTGTAATGAGAACAAAACCTATTTGTGGCGAAAAATGAAACAATACTGACCCTCATAAGCGCATATTTATTGCATTCTTTTCAAATATACAGTAATTAAATCACAAACAGTATCCTTAAATCACAGACCATTACACAGTGATAAATGTCATTAAAAAGTTGTAGCGGTGATAATTAATAAGAAAAACATGATTTAAAAAACACCTTGTTATTTTGAGGGTGTTTTATCTGCTGGGAGGGAGTGTGTGTGTGCTAAGAGAGCAGGACTTCTGTGAGACAGCTGTGTCCAAATGGCAAAAAATGCTGAGTGGTTAAAGCTTAAAGCCTACTGTGTCAAATGCCTGTTCTGACTTCACTGCAGTACTTCCAACATCTTGCTTGGTCTGACCTGAATTAAACCCTGAAAAGAAGACCAACACTGCCCCACCAGCTCCAGATCATCTATTCCACAGGCCTTGGGGGGGAATCCTCATTAACTATAAGCCGACTTCTTTGAAGGCGATCTATACATCTAATTTAAACCAAAAGTGAGAAAACAGAATGTCATGGGATTTTTTTCTACTATAGGGTAAACTGAAATTTGAAAAACAATCATCTTTTTCTTTTTAACAAAACAGAAACAGGAAATCAATATCAATCGTGATTTCCATAGTATTTCTGTGGGACACGGCTGAGGTATTTCAGAGCTGATTATAGACACAAACTAGTGGAATTCGTTAAAGCAACAAAAGCTGGTGCTCTGTAGCAGATAGCATGTCAGAGGAATGTTAGACTTTTTTGAACAAAGGTTCAATGCGATGCCTTTCTCGTTTAACTTTATGTTGTTCGCATCACAGAAGCAGGTATCTGATCATCAGGCAGTAGTCAGAGTCGTCCTCTTCATCAAATGAGGGAACCAACTTCAGCATCTTCTTGTGAGGAGGGATTTCTGTCTTGGTGACGTTCCTCACTACGTCAGACACACTGCAAACATAAGTGAATATAAAGTAACAATGCGTCACATTACACAGCAATACAGTTACAAAAAACAAAACAACTATCATTGATAAATGTTTTTTAAAGGGAGTTCATGCAAAGAAGTAACGAATATGAACACTATACGTAGTTGTTTTTCTCCTGCAAAGAGACAAACAAGTGTCTTATTCTATTTATAAACTAATCCTATATAAAGACCAACACATAATTAAGGTTCATCCAACCGATTGTTGCTCGTGCATCCCACACTTTATATCGCTCATTCCTGTGTAAACAAACAGCATCTTGCTGCTGGAAATAGAAACTACAGCGGCATTGTGTATTAATGAGTGTCTGAAAATAGCCTCAAACAAATCCTATATTTATTCCTGTTTAATTGAGGTTTGCTATAAACAACCCATTTGCTATAAATGACTGAGCAGCTAAAGAAAAGTATTTAACATATTTTAATAAACCCAACTTTATATCTGTGACCATTTTTTTTTTCATTTTTACAGATTTGTCCCTTCAGTGGCAGCAGATGGATTTGGGGCAGTAATGATGGTAGAATAGTCGTGAGAAACAAACAAAAAGATGGCTTTGGATTTTTATGAGAAATGTGGACAACATAATGCTGAATGATTTTCAGTTATTCACGTTTGCAAGCTTCCTACATTACTGGCTGAAAACAGGAAGCTTGGGGAAGGGCGACTGCACGGAAGTAACTGCTGGTGAGGGCATTTATCATGTTCAGCCTGCTGTCCACATGCCCCTCTCCCCCTGTGGCTTTATCTAACCACAACAGCCCCCCCCCCCCCCAACCAAGAGACTTCAGCGTCCAAAAACAAAGAGGGAGCTGCACACAGTTTTGTTTCACTTTCAACATTAAGACCTCACAGAAAGAATTAAGCAGTGATAAGAATCACATGCTCAACTTTTTTATTCCCAAGTATAGTACTGACTGTACACTCCCAAGGTTTAACCTGATTTATTTAACCTGGTTTCTCCCTCCTCCTGAAATCAAAACACCCCTGCGGCTGCATATTCTGCTGTGACTCCTAATAAACTGCACATATTTATCTGATTTGTTTCAAATCCCCTGGGGCTCAGAAACTCGGCTATGAAGTGTGGTGCACTCCTGAACAGGCCCGGACAGCTTGGCCTTCTGACGTGCAGAGAAAAAAGTTCACCCTGATTTAACTGTTTGACTTCAATCCTCGACAAACATAAGGACAACAGAGGAGGAGCGGTATCAATCGTCAGGGTGTAGTGATGCATGTGAGTGTGTCAACAGGCTCTCAGAGGAAACACCTCATCCTGCCATTAGCTTTAAACAAACACAGGGAGGCTGCGCATTGTGATTCTTTAAGTGTGCAGAGTTGCATGAAAAGTGTACGCAGATGTAACTGTATCTTTATGTTTAGTGGACATACCTCAGCATGAGCCTCTCTTCTTGTCCGCTGTAAAGGATGGCTGTTCCATAGTAGAGACTGCAAACTGTTAAGCTACTCTCTTCCTGCAAAAGCACAAGCAGTCAAAATGTAATTTACAGTGCAATATAACCCGATAACAGCACATAAACTACATATATACTACATATACATGCATTGTATGAAGGGGATTTCTAACTAAAGGTGCAGTGATGACATGTGGCCTCAAACACATTCAGCAGTTCAGGAAGCTCTTCAGTCTCCACAAACAAACGAGGGGGAAGCCGGCTAGTCAAAGGTTAAACAAAACCCTGTGCAAAATAAGATGACCTGCCAATTTATTTTCCCTGTTTTCTTCTTCAGAACAAACGTCAGCAGAAAGAAGAAACAAAATGCCAGATCAGGACAGGAAGATATGTGCAAGCAAACAGGCTAGGTGCTCAGAAGTTTCTGTTACAATGTGACCTATATCAAATAATAAAGACCGTTACCTGAATAAATAAGAGCAATGGGACAATGTTATTCTAAACATCAGACATGTTTCTATGTAACAAGTTGTTTTCATTGTGTGTCTTCTGTGTATGTCTTTAAAAGATGCAAAAACATTACAGTGATACACAGTAAATTAACTAGGGGCTTGTAGAAGTCACATTGATGATGTAGAGAATCTGAGTTTCGCTTAATACGCTAATCTTCTGTTGCTGTTCTAAGAATGCATCAGTGCACCACGTCAATTCAGGAAGATACCAAAGTCCTGGCTCATTTTCTGAAATAAGTCTAGTAAATAGAAGTGCAGAAATTTCAGGAGTTAAAGACAAGACAATAGTTTCAAAATCATAACAGCTACCAGACAAATAAACTAATGATTGATTGTAACAGTCTTGACATGTCAGTCTACTCTACTTTTTTTTCATATTTCAGTTTAGCCCTCAAAGAAAAGGCCTTCATAATCATTACGTCTAGCTTTTTTTTTAGTTGCTGTGGTATCAAAGTTTAAAACATCTGTTATTGTGATTGCGACAGGCCTCAAGCTTGTTCTCTTTTTGCTGAGTCAGAATAGGAGACTGATGCACTCTGAGATCTAGCTGCCAAATATGAGGCTACCACAAGCAGCTGGCTAACTTAACTTAGCACAAAGACTTGAAATGGGGAGGGGGGGGTCTTTCTGTTGGTTGTTTTTTTAAGGTATACCACTTTGTTTTTCATGAACATAAACACTATTTCAGCTTTTTTACTCAGCTTAAAGGAAAACAATTTAGGTAGCCACTTGGCTGAATTCTTGGTTTGGTTTGTTTTATTGCAGTGAAAACATAAGCCGTTTTCACACATGCACTCTCCGGAGATTCTCCCGAAGTAGCAATTCACATATGTTCCTCACAGCAGGGGACTTTCCCTGTCAGAGGGGAGGGGCCGCGGGGGATTTCCTGACGTAAGACGTGATGTAAATAAACAACGTGGAAGTAGCGGCCGAAGCAATAATAATGAGAAAATATAATGAGAATATTTGCCTTTATATCAATGCTATGTGTAGTCCAATGGAATGACAACATCCACAAAAGAGAGGAGAACAACATACTGACGAACAGAAAACACAATGCAGCCGTTTAATTACGTGCACGGAGATCGTAGTGGTTGCGTGCAGACACTTTAGCCGGTCACTATATAAACATCATTCTCTTTTCATTGGCTGACATCAGCTCCACCGGATTATCTGAGGAAAAAATAATAGTGGTCTGGCCGGATAAACTCTGGGTAATATCGGAGTAAAAAATTTGGCTGTTACGTTCACACATACAGCTCCTCCTGGAAATCTCCAGAGTTTTTCAGGAGATTTCTGTATGTGTGAAAAGGGTTATACTAACCAGTGGCATAAATGAGTATGAATTGTGGAAAGGGCTTCAGCAGACTTTGGGAGAGAGTCAACAAACACAGCGTGACCTTCCTCCAGGATTTTACAATAGATTCCTAAATTTGTGAATGGAAGGTGTAAAGTGGCCAATCATTCAAACAATGGCCATTGTGTGCACCACTGGAAGAAGGTGAACAGGTTGAGACTTAAATAAAAAACACAAATCCTGCACTCAGTGGCACCGGGTGTGAAGAAAGTGTGTGTTTCCTTACTGAGAGGAACGAGGAGGACATACCTTGATATACTGGAGCAGATCTCCCAAGGTCATTTCCTGCTGACCGCCACGTCTGCCCTCAACCAGGAAGTCATCCCACAGGCTGTATTTCTTTCCTGCGATCTGCGATAGACATGTTACATACACACACACACACACACACACACACACACACACACACACACACACACACACACACACACACACACACA